ATGTAATTTGTTTTTACTCCATATTTATATATAGTTTTATTATTTGTCTATATATTTTATCAGGTTTCCAGTGATTGGACAGAAAGTCTTTAGATATTTTGAACTTCCCTCCATGGTGTTCTGGGCTCCCCTGTTTAGAGCCCTCCACAGGCACTGGCCCATCAATCCCCTTCCCCATACTTCTCAGCATACCACTGTCCCCTGGTGCCCTGATGTATCTGTTCCGCCTTGGACAGATTTGACATGCAGCTGGCCCAGGCGCTTGGACAGTCCGTGTTTGAGAAGAGCCTCCGGGAGAAATTGAGCCAGGAGAACAGCAGCACATGTAGTGAGCTGGGCCGGCTACAGCAGCAGCTGGAGGTGAGTGGGGTGCCCAGGTCGCTGAACTCTCTTGAAATGCCAGCATGCTTCGGCTGCAGGTGACAGAAGAGAGCCCCATGTGGGTGTCCTAGCCCACCAGGCAGCTGCAGCCTCGGTTCCCAGCACGTACTCAGGACACCACGGTGGTTGTCACACTGATTGTGCTCTGTAGATTGGTGCTGTGATCTTGCTCTAGTCATCTGCAGAGTCTGAGATGGCCACCTAGAGGTCCCAGAGACTTAGCAAAAAGTACAACCTAGTCAGCTGTAACCTGAGCCAGGAGCTCTGGCCTGCTCGTGCAGTCTCTGATACAGAGGAGTCTTATGAAACTATGACACACAACAGAAACTGACTCGCTCCTGTTCTTCTGCGGCTCCCTGTTGCCTCCACAGAGTCTGCACACTTTCATCTTCTGCGTTAGCTAGCCCACAATCTTTGGCCCTGGAGCAACATCCTTACTTGGAAGGGTCATACCTAGGCCCTCCACCGCAGTGACTTGTAGCCTGGTCGTAGCCTTAGCAGGCATCCCATTGAGCTTTAGTGCTATGCCTTTGCTTCCCTTAAGCGCTCTGAGCTCTAACTCCAGGAAAATCCCACCTCCTCTATCCCTTAGTCGCTCCCCTGAGCCCTCCCAAAGTGCAGCCCTGCTGGTGTCCCCTGGGGCACTGTGAGGAGCCACAGGGTAGAGAAGTGGGGCCCTGCATGGTGGTGTAAGCTTGCCATCCCAACCCTTGGAAAGCTGAGGCAGGAGGATCCCGAATCTGAGGTCAGCCTGCACTAAATGGGGAGATCCTGTAGAAGAACGTGATCACATGACCCCAGTCCTCTGCCTTTTCCTTTGTAGCAAAAGGATCAAGAAGCCTTGAGGCTGAAGCAGGAGGTAAAGCAGCTACAAGACCAGAAGCAGGAGCTGCTGAGCTCCTCCTTGGTGGGGGGGAATGGAGTGGCCAGCTTGAAGGAGAGGCTGTGGAAGCTGGAGTCCAGTGCTCTGGAACGAGACAAGGTCCATAGCCAGCAGGAAAACACCATCAAGCAGCTGGAGCAGGTAGAGAACCCCCTGTTGAGGGTTTGCTGGGCCTGTGCCAGGCTCTCCCTAGAGGAATGGTGTGAAAACACCACAGGGCTTCCTCCCCCTGCTGCGCCTCTGCCTTCCATGGCTCCCTGTTACCCCAGAAAGCCTCTCCACTCTTAAGTCTGACATTCAAATACTTCATGATCCAGGCTTCTCCTCATATCCCTCAGCGAGGACAGCCATTCCTTCGGAGAAGCCAGCCCCTTGCAAAAGCCCACCTGCCCCCTTGGCTGGCTGCTTTCCTTGGTGACAGTCCAGTTGCACAGTATCCTTCTCAGGACCTCTCTTCCCCACTAATATACACTGGTTTCTTTGGGGTAGGGGTCTTGCTTCTCAGTGCCTGTTAGATCCTAGAATGACACAGATACACTGTTGGTTCTCAATACGTGACTACTGACCAAATATTTAACGTTGGTCACTGTCTGTGTACGAGACTTCATCCCTAGCTTGCTAGCTCTCCCTGACTTCCTCCCTCAGTTCTGTACAAGAGCTTTGTGTGGGAAACAGGAGGATCACCACTCTCATGGATATGGAAGTTGAGGCCTGGATACGGAGAGGGAGAGAGAGTGACATGATGGGGTTAGGATTTGAACTGGAGTCATCAGAGCATAGACAGTCTTATTTCAAGCACCGTGTTGGGGTAGATGGGACTGCCAGTCTGCGGGAAATCTAAAATACCTAAGTGGAGTGGGAGGGAGTGTCAGATACTAACTTTCAGCATCTTCAGTGAAGTCAAGGGAAGAGGCTTTTTCCTGCTTCTTTCTGGGTTCACATCAATCCCTAGTGTTTGAAGCCATTATAAGGCAAATGCTTAGCACCAAGAAAAATCTAAAAAAGGCAACTTGAACCAGAGAAATATAAGTTAATGAAATCACTAAGAGCTAGGTGGTGGCTCACCCTGTATCCCTGTACCCTGGGAGACTGGGGCGGGAGGACTGTCGTGAGTTTGAGGCCAACCTTGGCTGAAGTAACAGTTAGACCTTCTCTGTAATGCTGAGCTCTAAGGAAATTTCTAGTGGAGGATTTTTGTGACAGGCAATTCTTTTTAAAAAGACTGGGAACCCCACCTGCAGGAACCTGTGCTCTGAGAAATGAATGAGTAAAGCGGATGGACTGTAAGTGGCCCTGCTAAACCAGTATAGTAAACCGGCCCTCGAATCTCACTTACCCTCACTCTGTTTCACAGGATGGTACCTCCGGAGTGGGTGACATGGGTACCGTCAGGGACTGAGGGTCTTAGAGGCTGGCAAGCTTAAGTTTGTCAATTAAATGTATTACGTGCCTCATCCGCATCAGGGGCCACAGGGAAGGAGGAGCATCCATGGTCTCTCTGCCTTCCCAGAGCTTGTAGTTACGTTCAGGGTTACGGGAATCCTGAACCTACAGCTCTCTTCTTGGGAGAAGGCTGAGGGAGGAGGCAAGGAAGCTCTCTGGAGGAAGAGGCACAATTAACCTTGAAAGCTGAAGACTGATCAGAACTGATGCAGAGAGAGTTCCAGGTAAAGGAACAGCTGACGCAAAGGCTCAGGGTCCACAGCGTCTCGTGACGTCAAAAGAGCTGTACTATGGTCCTGGAAGGCTGGGATCTGTGAATCAGCCCACTGTCCCTTGGGTGTGGCTTCCCTAGACTTCAGGCTCCTGTTCCATTTGATGGGAGCCACTCCCCAGCCCCAAGTGGGAATCAATGAAGACTCCTGTAGAACTTGCCAGGTCTGTGCGGGTACGTCACTGGTGGCAGAGCACCATGTGGCAGCCCAGGCTTCTTTCTCTGAGCACAGCCAAGGAGCCAGCAAGCATTTTGAAAATCTCATTATCTCTTAAAGTTCTCCCAGCGCCTCTGAGGGCCACAGTACAGAACCCTGACCTTGAGAACAGAAACAAACACACTTCCTCACTTCCCACCCTGAACTTGAACCAGAAGAGAGGCTGAGTCCACACCTTCAGCTCACCCAGAGCCATGCACTGCATTTGCTGATGCCAGGAGGATATTTATTGATTCCGATACAGCACTTTTTTCTGGGGAGTTTTATGTTAACTCGTATAAGTTTGACATAAATGGTATTGTAGATGTCAGGAGTGCCCCAGAGGCTAGAAAAAAAATGAAAAAGCAGTATTATATTTCCTTGCACAGGCCCCTTATTGGGAACCATCTTTCCATAACTGCAGCCATCATGCCCAAGGAGAGGAGGGAGCTGGTACCAAAATGAGGCTAATTTAAGCCGGGCGTGCTGGGGGACTGGTGTGCATTATCCGTTAGGATCGTCACTAAGGTCTTGGGTAACAGGGAGTCTAGACAGTTTTGTTCATTTTCTGGCTTCATCTCCATGGTAGGGACAGTGGCTGCAGACTTCTCAAACAGGGAGGAAATTTAGTTTCTTTGAAGAGTGTTAAGGATTCTGAGGCTGCATCTAAACCCAGTTTTAGAATATAATGCAAGTGGTATCTCATGACCACAGGAAGGGGCAGGGGCAGCGCCTTTTGACCTTCTGGGGTGGAAGGGAGGTGACATCACTCTGATGTACATATTAAGAATGGAAAGTGCCACAGGAAGGCAGAGGGTGGCGTGGAGGGCTGGGCCGTGGACTCCGGCTACCTCCACTCACTGTCCGTGTCTGTCGTCCCCAGCTCCGCCAGCGGTTTGAGCTGGAGATCGAGCGAATGAAGCAGATACATCAGCAGGACCATGAGGACCAGGAGGAGGAGCTGGAGGATGTGCGCCAGACCTGTCAGAAACGGGTGTGTGAGCAGCGGGCACACCCTGGGGCCTACACACATGCTTAATCTGTGAACACCTGAGTCCTCAGCTCCAGGGGGCTCTCAAGGGTCTGGGCCCTAAAGTACTTAAACACAATCTTGGAACCTGAAGAAGCTTCCAGAAGTCTAAGAAAGCAGTCAGCCCTGCACCCAGAGACCGTGATCACTGCTGTTCTAGATGGTTCTCTGTCCCTTTCAGCGTCCACACAGTCCCCACACACGATGTGGAGACAGCCTTTCACTGAATGCCCTGTTTCCAAGCCCATTGTTTTCAGTCACCAGCCTGTCGTAGCCTCTGTGAATCTAACATTATGCTTGATGTCTTCACAATACTCTGCCTGAAGCATGTTCTCTAACTTCATCTGTGACCCCTCTCTAGTGTTGGACATTTTGGTTTTATGTCCCGTTTCCTGCTATTATAATCCATAAACTCTCCTGTACATGCGCAGACTAGTCAATTCTTAGAGGGAAATAGCCCAAGAGTCCTGCATTAAGCCTTATTTAACTAGCCTCCATAGTTACTCTAACATGTGTGACTTTGTCCCCTCCATCCTCCTCCTCTTCCATCACTCAGGGACCACAGGGAAATATTCTTCACAGTCTCCCTAGGACTTGGCATAAACACTTTATAATTCTGTGTATTCTTCTGGGTGGTGGTTTATATTTCCAGTCTCTTTGAAGCAGACAAGAGGGGACTGGCTATATTTCTTAAGAGTCTTTTATATTACATTTATTTATTTATGTTTATTATTTACTTGGGTATGAGTCACGGTGTGTATGTGGTGGTCAGAGCACAGCTTTCTAGAGTCACTTCTCTCCTTCCATCATATAGGTCCCCAGGGATTGAACTCAGGTCATTGGGCTTGGTGGCAAGTGCCTGTACTCGCTAAGCCATCTAGCTGGCCCAGAGTGATTATATTTCTAACTCTTCAAAGAAAGCTTTAGAGTGACCTTGCTTTGTGAAAAATGATCATCAGTCAGCATTTTCTCTCTCATGGGTCAGGAGGCAGTCAGGTAAAGGGTACACATATTTCTGTTTTGTTCCAAGAGCCCTGGAGTATGGTATGTGCCCCAAACGAAGAGTCCCATGGGTTGGCGGAGTGTCCAGACCTCCTGCAGATTTGTCTGGACAGATTTATAATGCAAAGCGCAAGGACAGAGAGGGGTATTTCTCTCCTTACAATGTACTCTGACAGCAGTTTTCCTTTGGAGTGATTGTTCTGTTAGGTGTCTCTTGCCAGGGCAGGGAACCAGCTAGTGGCCTGTGGTACTGTGGGTTTCTGGGATGGTAGGACTGACTGACTCCTCTCTGTCTTACCTGTCTGTGACATGAGCTACTGATGGCTCCAGATGCAGGCAGAAGGTGAAGGGCATGAACTGATGCCAATGAGCTAGGTTTGTGGCGAGCCCGCCAAGTACAGCTTCCCTAGGGTAGTTATTTGGGTGAGGGATGCCCTGTTTGTTGGGTAATTGCTGAAAAATCAGAGCCAATTGCAAATTAAATCAGGCGCTGTTCATCAGGCATTGGGGACTGCTGGAGGAAAACACTGCAGCCTGTGGTTCCCATGACCAGAATTCCTACTCACAGTTCTGGAGCCCAGGGCATTCAAGGTCAGGGTGCCAGTACACTGGGGGTTTGGTAAAAGCAGTCTTGAAGATAGCCACAGTGTATGCTTATGTGGGAAAGACAAGGTGGAGCTGGGGAGACAGAGAGACAGAAAGAGAGGCGTCCTAGTGTTCTCTCTCACAAGGGCACTAATTCGTTGTGGAGTGGCCATACTCATGGTCACATCTAACCTCAATCATGTCCCAAAGGCCCCCTCCAGATCCCATCACACTAGGGATTAGAAGGGATGCACACAAGCTACAACACCAAATAACCTCTGGAAAACCTTGGTTGGTATTCTGTTTTCAACTGTTGTATTTTTTAAAATCTATTTATTTTTATTTTGTGTGTATGAGTGTTGTGCTTACATGTATGTAAGTGCTCCTATGTCACAGAATAGCTATAGAGGCCAGAAGAGGGCAGCAGATCCCCTGAAACTGGAGTTATAGGCAGTTGTTCATCATCATGTGGGTGCTGGGAACTGAATCTGGGTCCTTTGGAAGAGCTGCTAGTGCTCTTAACTGTTGAGCCATCTCTCCAGCCCCTGTTGTAATGTATTCATTAAGGGAGATGGATGTGAATCCTAACACCGGGCTGCACAGCCTTCAGGAGTCAGAGTGAGAGATGGGGAGATGGTGCAGTGGATGAAGTGCTCACTATACAAGCAGGAGAACCTGAGTTCTGATCTCGAACACCCATGCAAACCTCTGGTGGGTGGGCCTCTGTGACCTCAGTGCTGGTGGGTCAGAGAGAGGAGAATCCTGGGAGCTGGCCAGCCAGCCAGTCTAGCCAATCGGTGCCCTCTGGGTTCAGTGAGAGACCCTGTCTGAAAATATAATGTGGAGAGCACAGCAGTAGCGGAAGATACCCAATATCAAATCCTGGCTTCCACATTTACACAGACACATATACAGGTGTATACACAGAGAGGCACACATGCACCTGTGTGTACACATGAACATACATGAATATGCACACACATACGCACACGCATGCACACCACACACACGCACACGCACGCACACACACGCACATGTGCACACACACATGCACACACACACACACACACACACACACACACACACACAGTCAGCCTGCTAAGATGTATAAATGCTCAAGCAGTGGCCTGACTGTAGATGTCACAGTGGGTGGCAAAGGGCTCTCCCAGACTGGTCGGCTTTGCTTCTTCTTGTCCATCTCCCAAGCTTTCGGGCTGCTGTGTTCTCTCCCAGAGAGGCCCCTCCCACTGCCAGGCAGCCTTCCTCCTTGGAGCAAGGCTGTAGGCTCCCTGTGCCCTCCTCTCTGAGCTGAGGGACTTGTCTATCTGGGGATCAGTCACCCCACACTCACTCTGCCCATGTGCCCACAGCTGCGCCAGCTGGAGATGCAGTTGGAGCAGGAATACGAGGAGAAGCAGATGGTCCTTCATGAGAAGCAGGATTTGGAAGGCTTGATTGGAACCCTGTGTGACCAGGTAAGGCGGAGACATCGGCAGACCTTTGAGGTGACTCACCCTGCCTCTGGGCTCTGTCAGAGGGATGGATGTGTGGGAAAGCCGGCTGCAGCAAGGGTGTGTTGGTCTTCAGGAAGGGTTAGGACAGACCTCTCAGCTGGCCTTGTGTCCTTAGAGAACCTGCTTCTTACCCTCCTTCCTTCCTACACTCACTGACTCCTCGAAGCAGGCCTCAGGGACTGGTGACCAGCAGACTTCTTAGTGAAACCCACTGGAATAAACTGATCAGGGCCAGCTGGGACAGGCAAACGAGGCCACATGGCCTTCAGTGGCTGCTGGGAGTGGACTATGGACAGTGCTGTGATAATAGGGTTGGTGTGAATGGTGACTGCGGTCATGGCTGGCCTCGTGGGTACCAGTCTTTCTCAGGAAAGCAACCAGGCTGGGAGAGGGCAGGTGTGCTGTCACCTCTGCTGGGCTGTCTGTATTTTGGTCAACTTATTAGCCGCTCTGCCCCACAGGCCTGTCCTTGTCACTGCACTGGGGTCCTCAGCATAGCTCTGTGAGTTCTAAGCTTCTGGATCGCATGTGTCTTATGGATGGACTGTCCTGCATTGAGAGGTTGAGTTACCCCAGTTCCACCTGTGAGCTGCTAGCACTCCTTCCCCAGTGTGCCAACTAGATATGTCTGCAGACCCTGCCAAGTGCTTCCAGAGGACAGAATCATCCTCCTTCCTCCTCTTCCTCTCTCCTTCCAGTGATCTCTGCTCATTACCCAGCAGAGCTCAGAATTACTCTGACTGCAGAGTCAGAGGCCCCACCAGCTGCCAAGACAAAGTGTGTTAGGTCATGGGAGTTGAGGGGGGCAGATTTGGGCTCCAGATTTCAGTCCTCATCACTTGGTGCCATGCTGAATGGCCCTGTGCACTGAGAAAGAGCATCTTGGTAGGTGTACATGACACAGCAACGGAGCTCACTGTGGAGCAGCCAGGAAGCAGAGAGACAGGATGGGATGGGGACAAGACTCTAGGTTACAACCCTAGTGAACCACTTCCTCCAACCAGACCCCACCTCCTAACCACCCATCAGAGTAAACCCACTGATAGGAGCCAGTGCCCTGGTGAACTCTCTTATCAGTGTCACCGGTCCAAATAAGCCTTCTGCACCTGAGCCTTGTTGAGAACCACTTCACATCCCAACCAGGACACCAGCTTGGTGGGAAATGCCTGCAAGGCTTGTTAGTGTCACGAAAGTGCCCCATTTCCTGTGCTTGCTGCACATGTGTACAATGTCTGTCAGTCAGCCCCCTATTGGACTCCTTCCTCAGAGTTCTGACTCATTCACAAAGGAAGGAGCTGGCTGCTGATGGTCCTCTGGGCACTGGGGCCTTGAACTAAAGAAGCACCCATTCTGAACTTAAACACAAACAGGTTCAATGAGTGGATCTCAGAGCAAGGCATGGCAACAGCGTGGGAACTGAAGCCAGAGGCATCCACAGGACAGTCCTGTCACCGTCCAACCCTGGCTTTCTAGTTTTTCAGTGGGACAATTAAGACAAATAGGATTCAGAGGCATGATATTTGATTCCCTTCATACCCCTACCAAGAGCCCACCACTTGGTAAAGACGTGAGGTGACAGCAATGGAAAGTTCTAGACACTTTTGGAGATTCCAGAATCAGGTTTAAATATTTTTGGTCCCAGATTCTTGAAATTCCATGGAGGAGCTGATGTCTCAAGTAGTCACTGAATGATCTGCCAAGGGTGATGTCTGATTCTAAAAGGACAATCAATATTTGTATCTATTGATTTGAGGCCCACTGAAAGGCTCCTGGGCTGGAGACCTGGCTCAGGGGTAGAGCTCGTTTCCAGCAGATACAAGGCACTAGGCTCCATCCACAGCACTGGGAAAGCAAAGAGTTTTATAAATATTGCTGAAATCAATTTTACTTGCAAAGAGAACTTTAGATCAATAAAATGCCTCCTTTGATAAATGGTCAAATTGGATGATTTCAATGTTTTTCTTATGACCTTCACCAAACGTGTGGAAAAGCAGGTGAATGCTGTGACAGGGGTGTGCACCAGCCACCCAGGGCTCACACAAATGAATACACACACTGCCTTATTGTGTCCCATGGGATCCAGGAAACAAAACCTTCCCAAACCAGCCAAGGCTTCTTGCTGTCCCTCCCAAGCTCCCGTCTCTCCCTCCCTCTTTCCTCTACAGACACTGAGGCTGGAGTGATACATTTGAGCTTTAACGATGGACAGTGTGTATGGCTCTGTGCTGTCTTTTGTCCCCCACATACTGGTGTTGAGGCTAGTCCAGTCCCTCTGCCTCTCTATTCTGTAGGGCTGTTCTTGTTAAACTTTGTTCTCCCTGTGGGTGTTTTGTGTCACTGGGACTCACCCGTTCATAGACAATGGTCTTCTGTGAATCATGTTTGCTCTCCGTTTAACATGCTAATCCCTTCTAGTAATATATTTTTCAAATAGCTCTGGCTCTTGTTTTTTGTATTGCCCTTCAGCTAATACAAAGTGCTTTTGACACAGTCACATTACCTGTGTGGTTTATGCTTTTCTGTTTTAACTTTTTGAACTTCAGTTCATATTTTACCATATGTCTTAAAAACTCTACTTTTCATATGATTAGGTTTTAAGTCCGTCTAGAGCTTATGTGGGTGTGTGGTGTGAGGTAGGAACCTTTGCTGGTGTAGGTGACCTTTATTTTATTTCATGCCTGGGTTTTCTGTGTCGGCACATGCTTGTTGTTGTATACGGGTCTGCTGTGTTCTACTTCCTAGTTGAACCTCTCTATTCCTGACCATCTGGTCTTACTGCCTGATTTTTGACAATTTGTAGAATTTGACACAGCCTAGAGTCACCTGAAGAAGGAGTCTCACTTTTGGGATTTCCCAGATCAGATTGGCTTGTGGGTGTGTCTGTGGAAATTGTCTTGATTGTTGACTGATGCAGGAGGGCTCAGCCCACTGTGAACAGCACCGTTCCCCAGGCAAGTGGGTCTGAGCTGTGTAAGGACGATAGCTTAACGTGAGACTGACAGCCAGCCAGCAGTGCTCCTCAATGATTTCTGCCTCAACTTCTTGCTTGAGTTTCCTGCCCTGACTTCCCTCAGTGATGGGTTGTGACCTGGAACTGTAAGTCAAATATATGGTTTCCTCTTCTAAATTGCTTCTGGTCCTGTTTTTTTGTTGTTTTTTTTTTTTTTTTTTGAACCATAGTAGCCAAAAAGAAACTAGAACACAGGGCATTTTATCTTGTTTTTAAAAATAATCTTCTCTTTCCAATTCCTTAATAATCTTAAGATTCCACAGACTGGGAGAGGATCTGAATAGTAGAGTACTTATCTAGTATGCACAAGACCCTAGTTCCAGCCCCTGCAACCCCCAACAGCAAATGATCCTAAAATAAAACTTGATGTGACATTCTTTGAGAATTTGTTGATTTATAAGTTAGACAGGCAACAACTGATGATTTTATATTTAAGCTGTATAATTACCCACGCTGCCTCTCTCCATTTACTTACAGCATTTGGTAATATTTCAATTTTTAATGATATAAGTTGTAAGCATGGTAATTAGATTTATTTCCGGAAAGCACTTGGTTTCCACAGCTTTGTGGCTAGTGTATGTCTCTGTTTCCATTTACTTGGTCTTTGTGGCACTTGAGAAGACAGGTAATACTGATCTTGTATCTAGTAAACTCAGTGAGCTCATTATTTTCATAGTTGATCTGTAGATTGTTTTAGATTTCTCTGTGTTGATGATCTTACCATTTAGAAATGAGAACAATTTTGCCTGTAGACATCAGAAAAATCTCAATGAAAGAAAAGCATGCATTCTGTCTCTCCCTATTCCACTGACCCAGGCCTCTAGAGTAAGACTTAGGGAAGGCCCTTTCCTACGTGGATGCAGCTAAAGTTTTGTCACAGGACTATTTCTAGTGTGCATTTCATCAGTAACTCTAAACAGGTTTTATCCTCTTTCTAACATTGTAATTTTTATATTGAAAGTAAAACTTATTGAATCTGATCATGTGCTTCTTGTGGTGGGCAGCCACCCCGGGACCAGCTTCATCCCTCTAGGAATACAATGTGGTGCGGGGTCTTCTGACAGGTCTTCCTGATCAATTTCCCTGACCGTCTGATATAACATGTACTCTACTGGACGGCCAACAGTTAAGAATTTTTGAAACTAGAATCATAAATGACATTTTCTTTCCTTACTGGTTATCCAGTGCACATAAAATCATTGCACAACTATTTTTGAAATGTTTTTAAATGGGGATGTGGAAACTTGAAATGGTTTGCTTTCTAACCTTTCTGGGGTATGGTTTCTTTCTGGAGGCAGGATCGATATTCAGTTGCTGTCTCAGAGTTCTGTAGCCACACTTAAGCACAATTTCAGGCATTTTTCTCTTCCTTATTGAGTGGATTTGGTAACCGATGCATTACAAGACTTTATCCTTACATCTAGCTTTTCATGTAGGCTAACCTGCAGCTTATTTCTGCAGTATTTTCTGATTTAAAAATCTTTTATATCAGAATGTTTGCCTTCTTAACCATAATGAAGATTACTTTTGGAGAATTTTTTTCTTGACCAGAACTTTTAGAAACCTTTTTATTTATATTTATTTTGTGTGTATGCATGTTTTGCCTGCATGGATATAAGTGCACCCATGTCATGCAATGCCAGAGGAGGCCAGAATAGGGTGTCGGATCCCCTGGAATTGGAGTTACTGATGATTGTTAGCTGCCATATAGGTGCTGGAAATTGAACGTAGGTCCTCTGCAAGAGCAGCTTAACTGCTGAGCCATCTCTCCAGCCCTGAAATCTGTCTCTTAACCTTCCAAGGCCAGATTTTCACTGTTGCCTTCTTATGCATCTGTAAATGTCTGGCTTCACTTTTGTTTCTTTCCCCCTTTCCTTTCCATCAGTTTGGGTTTGTGTTGAAGTTTTAACTTACTTTTAATATTTGTTCTCTCACTGAATTTTCCTAGAATCATATAAATCTTTTAAACTAAAATATCCATACGATTGAGGTAGCATGTTCCCTGGAGCTCCTGTGTCTCTGTTGTCCTGCAGGCCCAGAGCTTCCTCGTGGAGTGTCAGCGTCTTTTGTGAAGTTGCACAGCATTCATAAATTAGGTGCTAAGTGACTAACATTTGAGATTGTTTAGGGGAATTTTTGACTATGAGTTTTTAATGTAATGGCATTATGGACACTAACATGGTAAATACCTAATAATTTTTCTTTTAAATTACTGAGATCTCTATTGTTCTAATTCAAGGTCAAGTTGAATGAAATACTGAATAACTATTTTATGAAGCATGGGTATTTATACATGGCAAATTGATCAGAGTTGTTAATTTTATGTTATAAATATTACACAAAAATGTAAAATCATATGCCATTAAAGAAAAGTGTAAAAACATGTGACTATAAGTTTAATGTATCTGTTTCTGCTGCTTTTGGATTTTGCCTACTTTGCTGCCTCTAAGTTTTATATTGTTTTTTTTCCCCTGAAGACTTCATTTGGTTACTACCTGCTACCTCTCTTTTTTTCCATGATTCTTACCTTATTTTATTCGGGCCGATTCTTTTCCATTTCTTTGCCTTTAACACCTTTTTTCTCCCTTTCTTTTCAACCTCCACAGATGTGTATGATTGTTTGTGTGTGCATGCCCTAGCTCATGTCACCTTTAAACAGCTGGCTAATTTTAGTCCAATCTTTTAGTCTCTAACTTTAAAATATAACTCATTTACATTTATTGTAATGGCTAATATAATTAAAATTAATTTGTGGTCTTTTATTTTATGTTCCATGTTTATTAGTTTTTGATTCCTTTCTTTACTCTTCCTTTATGCATTTTCTACTTTCAGACAGATTGGTGTTTTTATTTTTTCTTTTGTTCAACTGCTGGTTCAGAAACTATTAACTTTATTTCTTCATTTTAGTGAGTATTTGTTAGTACTCAATTACAACTTTTTCTAATATACTTTAGTTTTCACACTAACAATATTCCCTTTACATAGTTGAAAGATTAAGACTCAGAGAGGAGTAAATAACTTACTCAGGACCAATGTTAATGTCCTAGGTGGATTTCAGAGGTCTGTATTGTTTTAAAGTTTATAATTTAAAAAATCTTATAGCATGATGTTGCTGAAAATTTCTAGTACCCAAAACCTGGTGTAGTGGTATATACCCAGCATTTGGTGGTCACCCCAGCCTTTGGTGGCAGGTGCAAGAGAATCAAGAGTTCAAGGCCAGCCTGGGCTACATGAGACCCTATCTCAAAACAACAAAACAATACAAAACATAACAAAAAACGGGTTCTAGGTCCTAGAAACACACTCCGGGGAGCATCTCTTTTTCACAGCACCCTCAGACAGTCTTCAGTTTCCCCACCTGTAAAATCACTCCGTTATTCCTAACAGTATTTCTAAATCATATTTTAATAGTGTTCAGGGAGGTCTTTGATGATCGACATTTAACACCTGCCCCCCAACAATTTGCCCTTATGGTAAATGGGGAAACAACTGAGCTTTGAACGAAGCTTCAGCAACAATAGCAAAAGAACATCATTTAGGTTCATTGGTTAATTATTTACCATATTTATCCAAATTTGAATCTCTGAGCTGCAAAGTGGAATCTCTCAGAATGACATTTATTTCCCATTAGCCTAATGAGTCCCTCTTCCCTCCCTCATCTCCTGTAATGCAATTCAGCAAGATGGAGAGGAGGACTTGGTATGAGATTTTGTTGTGAATTCTGTTTGCAAGGCTCCCAGTGGGAGGGAGGCAGTGCCTGCTTTTCCAAGGCTTGCTGGCACTGGGGGGACCAGACTCTGAGCCATTCCAGTCACATCAGGGGGAGTCCTGGTGCTGAACTGCACAGGAAGGCACTTTAGGATGCATTCAGGAGGCAAAGCAGACACAAATATTAGAAAGGTTCACAGCCACTGCCTGGGGTCATTATCATAAAACTCTGGATTCTAGAGTGAGTGAATGTAGGCTCAGGGAACAACTCCATTAAGCCCTGTTCACAGTGTTTAGAGACCTACATGCTAAGCAGAGGTGAATGGGTTTGACTCCCTACATAGCCACTTGATAGCTCCGCGACCCAGGCAGATCACTTGCCTGAGGTGCATCATGTGTTATGGAGCATATGTGGAGAGCCCCAGCAATCTCCTACTGTGTGACCTGCCCCCATCCTAGGGTTTTTCTGTTGAACCAGTCACCCAGCAATGCACGTGCAGACTGTTCTTCTCCTCTCTTGGCTCACACAGTACCTTCTTTCTGGGGAGCCCTCCAGGCACCACTAACTTGGACCAGCCAGCTCTGATTTCAGTGGCTAGCCCTTCTGTGACTCAGCAACACTTCTTGAAAAGGTTAAGGAGCAAAACACCTCTTAAAGATGCACCTTGCTAAAATTGCCTCTTAACTGCCAGCACAGTGGGGTTCCTATTCCAACTCCACCACCTCCTGACTGTGTGATTCTGGGTGGATCCTGTCTGTAAGCCTCAGTCTCCTTGCCTGTACTATGGGAATCACATGCCTCCACAGTTCACAGGTGCATCCTGGTGATTAGATGTAGTCCTACCCGCCAAATGTGCAGAATAGTTCCCAATACTTAAAATGTTCTCCATAAACATAAGCTATTACTACCTTTATAAAGGCAATAATAATAATGTCTATTTTAAAGCGATTGTCACTGGAGTTAAAAGCAATCGCATGTGACAAAGAGCATGGCAGAGTGCCCAGCCCACAGCTCGGCTCAGCTACTGAGCTCCATTTCTCTTTGTGTATTTATATCATAGACCAGCATTTTAAATTTATCATGGCAATCCATCTGAGGGAGGAGAGGCAATATTCTAAGAACCAGCTTATTTTTCAGAGTATTCCAAGCTGACTGTGGAGGGGTCCTAATACAAAATCTGCAGGAGTACTCGGGTCATCAGACAGTCTGCACAGTGCTGTTTGTAAAGCACTTGATGCACAGAGTGCTGGGAAACCCATTATTACACTTGACTCTTGTCTCATCCCAACATGGACACAAGGATTTTTTTTTTAAATCTTTCTTCTTATAGACAAGAAAGCTCAGATTCAGCGAGAAGACAGACTTGGCTGGGGCTCTCGCCACCAGCAAATACTGTGCTGAGATTTAAAGGCTCGGCTACCTCATTCTTAATCCCATGTTCTTTCTGGATTATTCTTGGGTATTCAAGAGAGGCACACAGACCAATGTTCACAGCAAGCAGAAACAAATCCTACTGAGGAAACGCCTGTCTCATTTTCTTCATAACTCCCCCTCTAGTGGATGACCTCTGTTCTTTGCTGTGCTCTGGAGGGGTCTGCTGGTGTCTGTAGGGGACACTGACTGCTTTGCCACAGATTGTGGGAGTTCGCACAGGACCCCAGTGTGATTCTGTCTTTCTTCTGCGTTATCTCTGCCTAAATCATTGGCCTCTAGGAGTGTCAAGCATCTATCACTCCCCCCTGTGCTTGTGACGGGATGTGGCCTCTCTGTGACCTTCCTGGCCACTGTCCCCTATGAATTCAGAATTCTAGGGGAAGAAATGTGTGAGCCCCTGAGTAAAGTCTCTTCCGTGGATAATGCCTCCCATGCCTGTTCTTCAGCTGGTGAAGGGGACCAGCTGCTGGCATAGAAAGCTTCATTTAGGGCTTTGAAAGGACACAGCTATTTGCTGAGGGGCATGGAGGACTTCCATGGGAGCCTGCAGGGTAACACGTCAAGGGGAAGCAGAGAAGATCACTGTATAGATCCATAGACTTCAGAGCCTACCAGCAGTGCCGGATCAGGTGCAGCAGTGACCCTCACCCCCAGAGGCTCGAGTCACTGCCCACCTTCTGTCCCCAGAGCCTAGGCAGCAGCTGACTCACCTGTCCCAGAGGCCCTGAAGGCTTGACGGGCACTCAGACAGGTGGCTCGGGGCAGAGGACAGAATGGAGCATTGTAGATCTGACACACAGTGATGACAGCAACAATGGTGATACACCACCCTGTGTTAAGCGTTAGACTGTCAAGCTTTCGGTTTCCATAGCACCTGCATACTTGGTGCTGTCCCAATTTTGGATGAGACTCATGGAGGACAGAGTCTTTTTGTTGCTGTTTTGTTTTTCAGGGTCTCAGGCTGTAGCCCAGTCTTTCTGCCTCTACCTCCCAAGGGCTGGGATTATAGGTCTGAGCCACAGTGTCTGGCAAGAGGGTCAAGGTAGGATTTGAGCCCAGGGAGCTCAGTTTGTGGGAATTGGAATTCTGGCAGCTCCTTTGCCTTCTAAACTCCCCTTTCCTTGGCTTCCAGATTGGCCACCGTGACTTTGATGTGGAGAAGCGTCTCCGCAGGGACCTCCGGAGGACCCATGCACTGTTGTCAGATGCTCAACTTCTTCTGGCCACCATGGAAGATGCCAAGATGTCAGTCAGCAAGGAGGAGCTGGAGAAGGTGCACAGCCAGGTGGGCCCCCTCAGCACCTGCCAGGGAGGCACTAAGGTGCCTGGCAGTCTAAGGACAGTTTAGCCACATGAACTAGTCACCAGCCTGTGGCTTCCTCAGATCGTCAGGAACGCTGAGACAATGAAGGGCTGTGATATGGTGGCGTGTGTGTGTGCATGTGTGTGTGTGTGTGTGTGTGTGTGTGTGTGTGTGTGCACTTACAGCAGGATGGGGCAACCTGCTCCCTTCAGTTGGATTGGGGCAGAATGTGTCTGTCTGGAGGGTATGAGTGAGGCTGGGACCAACTGGCTGAGGCCATCTCGTTTGAGTGTGTGGATGCCTGGACACCAGGGTTGGGTATAAAAGCAGAGATTTCTGGGTGAGCACCTTTAATCCCAGCACTGGGGAGGTAGAGGGAAGTAGATTTCTGTGAGTTTGAGGCCATTTACATGGTGAGACCTTGTCTCAAAACAGCAGCAGCAGCAGCAACAACAACAACAAACAGCTGTAGGGCTAATAGTATAAAGTCAGCTCCTCGCAGAAACAAAACACCATGGCCATTAGACTGGCCACTTTATCCTGATGATACTGATTGAGGCTTCATATGCCCTCCATCCTCCCCTATACACTGAGTCCTCTTTATACGTTACCCGACATTCTCAGCACAATTCAACAACATAGACTAGTCAGAGGAAAGCCCTACTTGAGCTTGTGCTTTCAGCGGGTTTAGCCCAGGTCACTTGGCCCCGACACCCTGGGCCTGTGCTGAGGCCTCATGGGAGAGAGGGTTTAGAACAGAGATGCTTACATCAAGGTGGCCATGAAGGAGAGAGGGAGGGAGAGACAGGAGGGGAAAAGAGAGAGATTGAGAAAGAGGGAGAGAGAGAGAGAGAGAGAGAGAGAGAGGAGAATCCCTTCAGAACGACATCCCAGTGACCCTACTTCTTTCAATTGGCCCCCTCTACTCATAGCCCATTGGGCTGTGAACTGATCAATGGACTCCTCCCCTGATGAGGTCGGTGCCCTCATAATCTAACCACCTCTCAATAGTGCAACTGCAGAGGAACCAGGCCTTCATCTCAAGAGCCTTTGGGGGAAGGGACACTTCATATTCAAAACATGACATGTCCTGAGGATTGTCAACTCTGCCTTATATGAGGTGACTGGGTAAGGGGAGGGGAGATATCCCACACAAAGTTCACATCTAGACAGCAATGGAGTCAGGATTCAAGGCCAGGGCCCCGGGCTCCACCCTCCCTTCCTGCCAACTCCAGCAGCACATCTGAGAGTGGAAGGGATGGGACAAGAGCCCCGGCACGGCAGCTGCATCTACAGGAGACGTAACAAGCAAGGGCTGTGTCCTCGGAGACCAGGACAGAAGTGTTGAGAGATGCTAGTGCTTTCACAGGACTGTGAGAGACTCCAGGAGAGATGTCCCTAAGCTGGGCCATAGCAGGGACTCACCACTGAGCTGATACCACCAGGGAGACTCGGCAGCCCTAAGAGTGTCATATCATTTTGTGTCAGCCTGGAAGACAGCTTGCTTCTGCTCAGAGAAGGTATTCTTGCTGAGCTCCATATGCCCCGCCTCCCTGTGCACAGCATTCCATCCTTCCTTCTCCTTCCCCAGCCTTCTGCCATCCGTCCTCAGCCACACCTCGTGGGTGGCAGTTTCTTTGTCCTCACTGACTATCCCAGGACCTCAAACAGGCCTTCATTAATGTCATGCCTGCCTCTGTGACAAGACTGCCATCTTCCTGAGGACAGAGACCACATTTCTCTCAGATGATGTCCCCTGGTTCTTTGTGTATTATAGAATGAATGTATTTCTGTTGAGTTCAGTTGGCTGGTTCCATTTCTCTTATAGGGAAAGAAACAGAGTCAGAGAGGTCCAAGGCCACATAGCCAGTCAGGCAGAGCCACACCTGGGACTCATGTTTCCTGACTCTAAACACAGCCTTCTTTTTGGAGAGAGCTCATGGAGGTCAGCCTGACCTAGGAAGGCAGCAGCAGGCTGTAGAGTGTGTGCCAGGTGTGGAAACAGGACCCACACTTTCTGTTGCTCCTGGTCCTGGTGTGTCTGTGTGTGAAATGAATCAATCTGAGTGGAACGTATTCACTTAACTAGAGACGTTAGAAACAAAACAAAACACAACTCCTCAAACTTGATTCAAACCCCCCCAATCGGAATGAAGCCCTTCTCTTCCTAGACCTGATTGAGTAGGGCACCACAGGACATTTGTGATATGGGGCCCACCACTCAAACCTCAGCTGGTTTCCTAGCCTCACCTTGTTTCTTGTGACCTAGGCAGTTTTAAGGAGTCCAGGCCAGGCATCCCCCAAAATATCCTCCAATCTGGCCTTATCTTGTGGTTTTCCATTATGGGACCAAGTGCATGGATTTGGGGAAGGAACCAAAGAGACAAAATTCCACAAACCTAGGAGACACTGGCCTGTCCCTCCCTGGGCTGCGTGATTCTTTGCTCTTCCCTGGGTAGTGCATTCTTGTCCTGGTGACCAACCACTCTGACTAGCTTGGGATTTTCCTGGTTTGGGCACCCAAAGCCCTGTGTCCTGGGCAAGGCAGGGTACTCAGTCACCACACCCCTTCCTGGTCATGTTGGAGCCAGATACACCTGGGGCAGAGGGTGCCTACTCAGCCGCCATGGGAGTCAGAGGGAAGGAGCACCATGCCCGTTTTATAGATGGGGACATTTTGTACAGAGGTAGAGACAGGTGTGGCCAGATGGCACAGCAGTGCATGACACAGCTGAGACCCATAACTTGAGACTGTCCGTGCAGAACTTGGGACCCTGTGTGTCACACTGCATCTCCCTGCTTGTTTGAGAGGGTGGGTTGGGGAGGCCTGTGTAGCTTGGCTCCTCTTAGATCAGCCGACATGCCCTTGTGCCATACTGGAGGCTGGGCACCTCACGTTCATTCATCAACCCCCAGGAAGAGGACCTTACACCCCATTTTCCTTCAAGTGAAAGGTTCCTGCCTCCCCTCCCCCCAGGTGAGTGTTCTCACAAAGGAACCTCGGGTAGCTTTGTTTCATTTCCTCTTTTCTTTTTTAAGAACTGTTTCTGAGAACTCTCCCTCAGCAGGGTTAAGATGTGTGTTCGGAGGAAACAGTGATGTTTAATGTAGGCGCCTTGAGGGAATCAGAGAGGCTCATTCTTCTGAAAGTCCTCTTTCCCTGCTCTCTACATCCGGCTCCCATCAAAGGGAATCCACAGCCTTGGCTTTCTGCTGCTGTTGTCATGGAAATCACTGTAAGGATGGATCTCCTGGACCAGAGGTCAGGGTACAGTTGCTTTGGCTCTTGGCACACGTGTCCCGGATGCTGGAGTCGAAGCTAATTAGATAAAGCAGTGATGATTCTGGGCACCACTGTGGCTCCTGTCTGATGTCTGGCATTTGTCCTGAGCCTGAAGGCTCCAGGGAGAGAGGCTGGGACAAGTGAAAGGGGGGAGGGAGAGGAGTAAGCCAACTTTGCTTCTGGCTGCCTTTTAAGAGCTGGATATGGCACTGAACAATTCCCTCCATTCATCCATGCATCATTGGGTATTTGTGCAGTAACACTGTATGTCATGTGATGTGTGAGATACAGGACTCTTGGTCAGTAAGACAGGTGTGGTACCCACCCTGTGGAATCCACACCTGATAAGACAGAAGCAGAACGGTGGTGCAGAAGCATGAAGCAGCCACACCTCTTAACTTGGGAGATGAGTGAGGGCCTCGGGTAGGGAAGAGCAGGGCCCCTTTAAACTGGAGTCAGCTACTGACCCTGGGAGGGGGAGGGGGAGGAGGGGGAGGAGGAGGAGGAGGAAGAGGAGGAGGAGGGG